ATTTTTTTTTTTAAGTGAAGGGGAGGAGTTTAGCCTATCAGGTTGCAGCTTGGTGACCTCATCTGGTGGTGCTCCAGAGATAAATAACTCACTGGAGGCCAAACCCATACTCTCTGCTTCGTCTCCCTGTGAGATATTCCTGTTGACAACCCACGATGAGCTGTGCTAATGGCAACCAGAGCCTTGGAGCAGGAGAAGCCACATGGAGACTCCACACCAGCGCTATGATGCTTCCACCATCACTGGATCCACAAGACTTTCCACCCACTGACCTTTGATCTTCCTGTACTTGGCATCCTTGTATGTGTTGCATGAGTCTGAAGAGGAATTTATAGACTGGTATCGGACATATATGCTAATATCAGATTTACTGACTTGATCTGGACTGGGGCTGGGATGTTTTCTCAATATGCACACCATACGTGAGCTCATTCTCTAAAATATTCTAGCTCTTTGATTATCCTTATAACTTATCATCCCTATATTCCCTTGTAGATGAAGCTATGTGAAAACAAGGATTTTTTTAAGAAAGGCTGATGATTTCAGGTTAAGTCCTCTTTCTTTTCTCACTCTCAACTAACTTGATCATTGTTAGTATCATGCTATAAAGAATATGGTGAAAGGGATTGGGGGAAAAATTGTCTACTGCGGGGTTTTTATAAGAGAGGGTCAAACTGGTAGGTTGGTAGTGGGTGCTCCTGGGAGAGAAAGGGAAGCATCCGGTATTGTAACTGGTGAAAATCAAAATACACTCTGCTCTTTTGCTGCTAAAAGAGCAAAACAAAAACAAAACAAAAAACAAGGATTTTTTAAATTGCTAAATGACCACCACAGTGCCTTCTACACTTAAGCACTAACCTTTCCGTTAGCAGCTGAGTTTTAACCATGAAGCCGCCAGGGCTCCTTGTCTTCTATACAGCATAGTCCATCAATAGGCACTTGGTGAATGAACATCTAACGCTCATTAAAATAGCCCTCCTTGCCTAAGGGACTCTCCTTCCACTCAACTAATCTTTCAAACAGAAGCCATGAATGAAGCACAGTGCTTCGGAGGTTCTAGGAGGCTGAGAGATTATGGGATGCCACAGTCCTTCCCTATACGATTTCAGAAAAGTGTAATCTCAGCCAGATGCTATGCCAACCCCACGTGTCTCACTCATTACAAAATAATCTCCCATTTGAGAGAAAAACTAAATGTCATCAGTAACAATCTTAATTGACTTGTCTTTCTACCTCTTACTCCGCTGATGATAGTTCTTACTCTCATAGTTAGAACTCATAGATGACGTCAGAAACAGCCTACTTCAGTAAGTATAATCCTGCAACATGCAGGGAAAAGCATCTCTTCTTCCTAGAAATTCACTCATCAATTTATTCCCTTTCTTCAATTTCTCCTCTCACCTGGTTTTATCCTCGTACTTATGAACATGTTAAAATCTTTCATAGTCTTAAAAAGAAAAAAAAACTTCACTCTGCAAAGCCTTAACAATCAAAACAGCCTGGCACTGGTATAGGATAGGTGCAGAAATAGGTGGAATAAAGCCGAAGCATCCAGAAGTAAACTCCTACCAAGTCCATTCAGTCGGAAATGAGCCCTTGTAAAAAATGGTGCTGGGACAACTGGATCTTCACAAGAAAAACGTGAAGTTGAACCCATACTTTATAGCCTATATGGGCATGAACCAATATAAAGCAATGACCTAAGTATAAAAACTAAAAGGAAACAAAGTTTTAAGACTTAAAAATGGATTAGATGGCATCAAAAGCACAAGCAATAGGTAAATTGCATTTCGAAATTAAAAGCTTATATGTATTAAAGGACTTTAACAAAACAAAGAAACTCGCTACAGAATGGAAGAAACTATCTGAGAACCAAAAGGAGCTTTTCTTAGAGTTGTGGAAAATTTCCATTATCTTTGAATTCCACTTTTCCAAGGACTTTTTCAAGGCCCCTCATATATGGTAGAAGTGTTTCATATCCAGAATATATAAACTACAACACAGTAACAGCAAAAAACACACAACTCCACTTAAAAATGGACAAAAGACTGGAATACACAATGAAAATATACGAATGACCAATAAATACATGAAGAGATGCTTAACCCCATTAGCTATGAACCGAGTGGCTGTTGTGCTGACACCAGCTCAACCGTGACCTCCTGTGTGTTAGAATACAATTGTGCTCTGAAGGCTGGTTTTAAAAGTGGATTGCCAAGCCATTATTCTGAGGCACCACTGGGTGAAGTTCAACTTCTCACATTTCAGATAGCGGCCTAGCATGTTCACTACTTGTACGGCCTAAGACCAAAAACCAAACTCATTGCCATCGAGTCAATTCCCACTCATGGCAACCCTATAGGGCAGGGTAGGACTGTCTCTGGGTTTCCTAGACTGCAACTGTCAGAGACTTGAAAGCCTCATCTTTCTCCCCAGGAGCTGTTGGTGGTTTTGAATTGCTGACCTTGAGGTTAGCAGCCCAACAAGTAACCCATTCCCTATTAGTCATTAGGGAAATGCAAAGCAAAACCACTTCATACCCACCAGGATGGCTACTACTAGATGTAGGCCAGGGCATGGAGAAATTGAAACCCTCATCTATTGCTGGTGGGCTTGTCCAAACAATGCAGCTGTGGAAAACAGTTAAACATAAAATGACTATATGGCCCAGCAATTCACTTACGTAGGTAGGAACCCAGAAGAGCTCCTGAGGGCACTCAAATAGACCTGTGTACTATACTATTCATTGGGGCATTATTCACGACAGCCAAAAGGGGCAAACGACTCACCAAAAAATGGACACATAAAATGTGGTAGATTATCCTATAATAGAATATTACTCAAAATGAATTTAAGACTCCTTAGGACCAATAATGAGACTAGAGATACCAGGAGGGGAAGGTGACGGGAGAAAGGGATATCCGACCACAACAATCTACGTATAACCCCCTCCCCGGGGGACGGACAACAGAAAAGTGGGTGAAGGGAGACAACTGTCAGTGTAAGACATGGAAAAAATATATAAATTATCAAGAGTTCATGAGGGAGAGGGGGTGGGTGAGGGGGGAAAATGAGCTGTTACCAAGGGTTCAAGTAAAAAGAAAATGTTTTGAAAATGATGATAGCAGCATATGTACAAATATTCTCGACACAATGGATGTATGTATGGATTACGATAAGAGCTGAATGAGGCCCCAATAAAATGATTTAAAAATAATTTTAAGAGGAATTAAGTTCTGATACATGCTACATTAGACAGATGTTGAAAACAGTATGCTGAGTGAAATAAATCATACACAAAAGACAAATATACAATCCCCCTTATCTGAAATAGAATAGGAAAATGTAGAGAGACCGTTTGAAGAAAACTGGAGCCATAATTATGGGTACCAAGTTTCTGTTAAAGGTAAAGCATTTAGAATGAATGTAAATGAATGTTACTGAATTGAACATTTGTAATAGGAGCCTGGGTGGTGTAATGGTTATGTGTTGGGCTGCTCACCTCAAAGGATAGCAGTTCGAAACCACCAGCCCCTCGGGAGAAAGAGCAGGCTTTCTGTTCCCATAAAGAGCTAGTCTTGGAAACCCACAGGGGCAGTTCTACCCTGTCCTGTAGAGTTGCTATAAGCTGGAATTGACTCAATGGCAGTGGAACGTTTAGTTTAATAGTCAAAAGGGGGAAACTTGCTATATATGCCCTAATAAAACAAAAACCCTCTCTCTCTTCACAATAAAGTATTGTCCCACCTCTTGCTTTCTCTGCTTAACTTCTTGAAATAGTAAAAATCAGAGTTTATATGCCCATTTCCTATTCACTGTTCTCCAAAACATTACAATTTAGTTAACTCAGCTGTATCCATTCCTATTCCATGCAGAAACATACTATTACAAGCGTAAGACCACTCATTTCATAATTACCCTAACAATCGGCAATTTTGAATCCCCAGACTACTGGAGCGCTCTCATTTCTGGTGCTGCTGACCTTAAGCTACTTCATGTGCTATCTTTCATGAATTTCCTTTCTCCCCCCCCAAGTTTCTTCTGTTAACCTTTCTTGCTCAATTGTTCTCCACTTGCTCCTCCTCTTCTGCTCATTATTAAACCTGTCAGTATTGTTAAGGTCTGACCTCGATTCTTCCTAATTTTCACTTTACATACTTCCTCGGGACAAGTTTCCTCACTCCTCTTGCATTCAAATATATGGGAAAGACTCATATAGAGAGTTCATTTGACAGTGACAACTCAGTTTCCAGTGGGTAATTCTACCCATATGACTCTAGACAAATCTTAACTAGAACATGAATAAGACAGCTCTTTCTGTCTTCCTTCCAAACCTATTCCAGTTGCCTATAACCTGTATCTTGGTTTATAAAACTCAGCACCCAATTTTTCTCCCAAGTTTGGAACCTTGGTACTATCCTTGCCATTTCTTCCTCCCTCCTACTATCCCAGAATAAGTAAATGCTCATAAATAAATTCTGTTGTGTCCACATTTGATATCTGTTAATAAAGCCTTGACTTCAAGTTCTCACCTGGATTGTATTGTTGAAATAGCTTCCCAAAAGATATCTGTACATTATTGTATTTTTTAAAACAATCTATGGAAGACCAAAGGAGCCCTGGTGGCGTAGTAGTTAAGAGTTGGGCTGCTAACTGCAAGGTCAGTAGTTCGAAACCACCAGCCAATCCAAGGGCGAAAGATAAGGTTTTTCTACTGATGTCAAGAGTTAGTCTTGGAAATTCACAGGGACAATTCTACCTTGTCCCACAAGGTTACTATGAGTCGGCTTAACTCAGTGGCAGTGAGTTTGTTTGTTTTTGTTTATATAAGACCAAAGGGTCAACAACTATTTTAAAGCACAGATGAAAAGACAGATTTAATAAATGGAAGTCAAAGGACCAGAACAGGAAAAATGAAAATGTGGACACATGTGAAGGATGTAACCTGTGTCCTTGGTCATTGTGACCAGAAACTATGGAATAGAGCAAATTTTGTTTATATAACTTCACCAAAAATCAAAACAAAACACGGAATTACTTTGTAAAACGAGTATCTGACCCTATGAATCCATGTTTAAAGACCTTTTGCTGCTCAAAGGAAAAAGTACTCTCTTAGCTTAAGCATGAAAGAGCCTTCAGTCTGGCTGTAGGTCTCCCACCTACCCCTCTGGCCCCACCATGCCCAGATCCTGCAATCCCATGAAGTTGAGCATTTCATGGACTCCAGTTCTAGCACGTGTTGCTATGTCTGCTCAGAATGCCTTTCCTCTCCCGCCCTCAACTTGAAGTCTTTCCTACCCACCTACAACAGCATTTCCCCAGTTTACCTGGACAGACATTATTACATCCTTTTCTACATCCCTCTTAGGGCCTTATTCAGGGCTCCATTAGAGTTTGTATCAAAATGTTTTTAACTTTAGAGCTGGCCCCAAGTGGATCATATGCCTACAAGTTACGGCACATATTCCTAATTTTCATCATTAGACTTTCAAATTATCCCATAATACAGGACAACTGTGCCCAAATCATTCTTTTTCAAAGGTAAGAGATAGATTCCAAGAGAGGAGAGGGAGATCTTACCTCGAGGAAAAATGCCTGGGTCCATGAAGGTGGCCATGCTGAAGTTGGCCAGCACAAAGAGAAAAACAATCGCATTGTAGATGGGCACTGCAGGTGACACATACACGCTGAGTCCCGGACACCTGCATAGACGATACAGAAAATAAGAGGCTGCCTCTAATGACACTGGACACCGACCATACTCAAAATCTGTCAAGATTCTGAGAGGCCAAGCTGGTGGGGGTGGCAGGGGGATACACAGGACAATAGCGGAGGAGCCTCAGAGCTATCCATGTATGTTATACATCATATAAGGCTGAGAGTTCCTTCCTATGTCTCATCAGGAACAGTCAAGATTCCCTGTGTCACTCAGCCTCCACACCTAGATCAATCTTCCCTCGTTTTCAGATCAAGGTACAAGACACAAAGGATCGCCCCTACCTTAACCCCATGCAGCACTTAGGGTTGTGTTCTTCAGATTCATTTTGGAATGAACTGAAACTTTCAAGGTGTTTTAGAATGTGCCCATCTCCTCTCTAACAAGACAGGAACACTTAGCAGAGATCACCTATGTAACTGACACCACACACACACACACATTCCTTTCTTGGGAGCTGGCTGAGGTCATGTTCCACTGACCTTCACATTGGCTTAAATTAAATCACAGGCTACCACCTACTTTCTGGCTGCCTTGTCCCCTACCAGCTGGCTCTTAACCACTCTCCATTGCCTAAAGTTTCGTCACTGTTTCAGAAGCTGGCTCTTGGAGTGGGAGAGGTGGGAGGAGATAAGGAGGCACAACACAGATAACAAAATAGACATCAGGACACAGGAGACCCTTGAAGTCTTAAGTCTGAATGAGGAGTGGGGGAGGCAACTACACCTTAAAAGCCCTAAATCCAATATTCCACAGGATTCAAATCGAGACATACGTCATGGCCCTTTTAACAAAAACAAAAAAGTGTTTCCTAGTTCAGCACTAAACTGCTGTTTCCTCCGGGGACAGGAGTCAAAGTAGGAGCCCGGCAAGAGCTGTGCCTTCAGGCCTGCTGTGCCCTGGGAGCTGGGTGTTTCAGAAGAACATCTGATGTGCCTCTTGCTTGGTCAGTTATATCCCATGCTCTATCTCAACTCGGAAAGAGCTTCCCACTGCAAGACAACGGCCGAACACCCTAATCTACTTTGTGGCTGAGAATTTAATCTCCAGAATTAGGCCAGCATCTGTCCTTGTCCCTTTTATCTGGACCAGTCAGAAGGAAAGCCAGTGTCAAGAGAATAAAACATCCTAAGAACCTAGTGAATTCATCCACAGCAGTCCTGTCCCCATCAAACTAAAAAAAGAATAGCCCTGAATAGTGATTCATGATGGCTTGGAGGAAGCCTCTCTCTTCCTTATGCAAGTTCTTGGGGTCAAAAAAGATGGCCCCATGTCTTGGCAAGGTTTCTTTTGGGTGTAATAGAAGCAAGAAGGAAGGATCTCTGAACTGCCCCACCCCAAAGCCTTGACCTCCTGGGTTCCTCTAGGGAGGGAGAGAAACTGAAAACCAGTCATCCAGGTCAGAGCCCCTCCCTAACACTGAGCTGTCGCTTCCATTTCCTCCTGGGGAAGAGGAGAAAAGGGTGACTCATTGGACTCCCACAGTCTGGGAAGACAATTAGAAGGGAAAAAGAAATTAAATCTTTAAAATACTGAGGAATCCATGATTTAAAAGTCATTCCTAGAACTGGCTACTGTGGCCTCATGAGCTTCTGAAAGAAATAGGCAGGGCTGCCCTCTGTTGCTGAGGGAAGGGAAGTTTCTGGAATAGCTGGTGAACAGGAATGACATCCCAGCACCCTCAGAGGCTCCCATGTCAATCTTCCTGAACATGCTTTCTTCAGCTTTATTTCCAAAGAAAGCAAAGAGCTAATTTCTTTGGTACCCTGCCAACCACCTACCCCTCGATGACGAACTCACCCCTACAACTTTCTTGATAACCACCCAGCCCAGTTGAAGTGTGTAACCCTGGAACTGAGTTCCAAGATGTTGCCAAAATAAACCCTGCCCCCACAGTGGCAGCAGTTAGAAATGATGCAAACAAGGCAGCCAACAGAGCCAGTATTTGCTGTCCAATTCTCATCAGAGACCCCCAGCTTTGAAGCATAGCACTCAGGCCAAGGCAACAGTCCACCAAGGAGAGGCCCCGGTGAGCAGAGCCTGCCCGGGTCACATCTCCCACACGGTTTTGTTTGAGGAGAGTTTTCCTATTGCCAGATTCTGGGTGACCACCCCAAGGAGCCTGTCTGAATCTGTTCCCTTTGATAGTAGGAAATGAGGCCTGAGCTGGGGAGTTGTTGTTGGGGCTTGTCTTCAGCCTATGGCAATAATCCTAGCGCTCCAGAAGCTTAGGAGTGGTCAAAACCCAGGAGGGAGGCTGACTCACGGATGTGGCTCCCAGACCCATATCATCCTAAGGAAAACAGGTTCCTTAGCCCATCATGTGGCACTCCCATTTCAGGGTCAAATGAAAATTGGGAGAGTGGGTTTGTTTCAAAGCCCACACTTCTGGCATCCTGTTTCGTAGTTCTCTTTTTAAAAGGTGGTGAAATTCTTGGAAAGAAAAAGCAGGAGTCGAGAAGCTTTGGGTTTTAATCTGATTTCAATCAATGCTCACTATGTGGTCTTAAGTAACATCCGGGGAGCTCTCCAAGCCTGTTACTTCACTACCCAATACAGATATGAGAATGAAGGAGGGGATGTTTGAAAAGATTCTGGAATTCTTTTTAAACCAGCTGGCTCAACAGAGCACTAGCTGGCTGAAGACAGACAAATACATTATTAACCATCATCAATTATCATTCCAGCTCCACCTTCTTCTGTGATTTCACTTCCCCATCTGAGCTATTAGGGAAGTAAGGACACTTAGATAGAGAGGCACTCAGCTCCTACAGAACAGGTCTGTGCATTCCACCTGTGCCTAAGACATAGTTGGAATAAATGACTAGTGTTCCTTGTTGCTGAGAGGAGGGTGGAATGAATGTCCCACTTCCTGCCCTTGGGGATCTTCACTGGGGACTGCGTCATCCTCTGCCTTCTTCAAGATCCCGTGGGCAAACAACAATTCTCCTTACAGATGGCAAATACTCTTGGAACACCTGTTGATTGGGGAGGGGTGGTTCTGGTGCCCAGGCTTTCCAGCAGCTGAACGCTACATGTGGAACCTGGGCACTTATTACTAGATATGAAAACACCCAGGAAAGAAAAAGGAACAACTACTGCTCAATTAATCCTTAATCATTAGCTGTTCCCACTCAAAGCAGATGCTAACACCTCTGCCATGGTGGGGAAAGAAAAAAATGGGGGGGGGGAGGCAGACCAGAGGGAGAGCCATGAGGCTGCCTATTGGCTTTGGGTTAAAGGGTAGGAGGGGCCAGAGGATGACAATGGAAGCAGCATCTATACTGTGTGTGGGTGGGCCACTAGAAGACCAGGGGTTTCTGGGCAGTCCTAACTTCCCATCCTTCCTCCTAGGATGCCCTGACCTCCTGCCCACCCACTTTAGAAATGAGCATAATGAGACACTAGCTGTTCTAATTGACTTCTAATGGTGTTGCCAGGAGCCCTATGAAAGTCTCAGGGCCTGAGGAAGTCAAAGAGAAGATAACCACGTGGCTGGGCTTCATAGACTCACTTGAGCCAGAGCAGTCCAACTTGTATATTTTAGGTACAGGCAATGCCTGGGTTTCCCCTACTTGCCCTTAAATGTTATGTCTCATGTGTAAATAACATGACTGGCCCAATCCGTACACGTCACTTCCACTTGCTGAAAGCGCAGCTTTTCAGTCATGGGAAAGGTTCTGAGCCATCCCTTGCCGTAAGTCAGCTAAATAAGAACCATACGCACTGCTCTGACTACAAATTTGACTTAAAGACACTTCCGAACAGACCTTGTACAGCCTGTCCTGGAGTTCCACATATTATTTCATTTCTAAAAGGGTCATGTTGCATAAATAAACTGTTCTAGTTCAACTTCCTCATTATAGAGGAAGAAACTGAGACCCAAAGAGGTTAAAAATTTTAACTAAAATAGCCTGACCCCCAAATAATGCTTATCCCACTTATCTAGCAGTGCTCCCTTGCCAATAATCACAAAAGGAGAGGATCCACCTATACTAGTGTTAATAAAGAGCCCTGGTGGCATAATGGAGTAGGCATCTGTCTGCTAACTGTAAGGTCGGCAGTTCAAAAATCACCAGCCACTCCAAGTGAGAAAGATGAGGCTTTCTGCTCCGGTAAAGATTGACAGCCCTAGAAAGCCAAAGAGCCAGTTCTACCCTGTCCTACAAAGGTTGCTATACATCAGAATCAACTCAGTGGCAGTGAGTGAATTCTTAATGGGAAAAGAAAGGGTTACTTTCACAGCTGCTCTTCTTCTCAAACAGGGAGAAAGGGAGCTGATTAAGACAGGTGCCCCAATCACGCATCCAACTAGTTTGGTATTGGACACGGTCAGTGGATGAAAGGGATCGAGGCTTGGAGGAGGAGGAAGGTCTCAAGATTGAGGCAGAAGATCGCCATTTCTCTGATGAGCAGGTCAACTTGTTAAGTTCTGCTTATGGTTTCTCTGCTTGACAGAGAAATACGGAAGGTAAGCTGTTCCTAATTAGTTGAAGCCTACATGCCGTCACTAATTATACCAGTCAGCTGGAAAGGGACTCTCCCTTCTACTCCCAGTTGTTTAGGTCTCCAAGTTAATTCTCACCTACGGTTTACAGTGATGTAAGAACCACCATTTGTAGCCTAGTGAAGAGAGTAAGAGGTGACAGGGTAGTTACAGATAGCATCAGATTACCCAGTAAGCAAGGTAAGCATGGGCTGACTTGTGCTTATTTCCCTATCTGTAGTTAACATTTTCACCCTTTACACTGCATCCAAGATTCTACGTCTAGCTCAGCCTAGCATCTGCCTCTCCTGAAGCCCACAGCGCCTTCCAGTCGAATCAAAGCCTCTTTCCAAATTTACAATCCCTGACAGGGACAGAGTAGCCAGTGAGTAAGGTAAACATGAAAACCCTGTGTTAACTATTCACTACACATGCGTAAATAAGCTTAGCTTGCTTAGTTGGGTCAACCTACCCCTGGTACAGATTTAAGGACCTAAACCAGCACTGGTTCAAAGAAAGCGTTGCTCTTGCCTTTCCTCTTGAAACCAAGAATTTTCATCCGTGTATTGTTTTCCATGGAACTGAACCTCAAAAGGGGCAGCGCCCTCGGGGAACAGTGTTTCAAAACAGTGAGTAGCACCTGGGCCCGTGCCTGCATGCTGGTGGAGGAAACCCTATGGTCAGAGAATTTCAGAGGACAACCCTAACTTTTCTTCTTCTCTTCAAGAGCCAGGTGATAGCGGAAGATAAACAGGGTACTTCTGCTTCCACAAGATCTTTGAGGGAAGAAGCCAACCCACAAACATTCATGGTAGAAGCTAAAACCAGGAGCAACTCTCAATGTTAGGGTTCTATTAATTCTGGATTCAAAGCAGTAATTCCTAGTCAAGACTTATAAGCAGAGTCAATCTTGTCCTCCCAAATCCTTTTGCCTGGGTCTCTGAGACCACAGAATGAGGAGCCCGCCACCCCCCACCCCCCCCACTTTACTGGCACCAGTCAAGAGGAAAGTAGGTTAAATGGCTTCAACTACCAATTGAGAAACTGTCCGTGTCAGGACAACTCCGGGCAAACTGGTATAACCAGACAAGCACTCCAATGGTTCCAGATTAGCAAGTCAGGATCAAAGCCTCTGCTTGCCCTGTCCTCAAGAACAGATGAGCAGAGGGAAACCACTCAGTCCCTGAACTTCCTACTTTCTCCAAAGGCTTTCCCTCTTGGAGTAACAGACACTCAACAATGAGGTTCTAAGGGGGCCAAGGGAGCCAAATTGGTCTTGTAAACACACCTCCTGACCCAGCATGACTATTGCAAGGATACTAGGATCTGATGGAAGTGTTCTTGGCTAAAAGGTTGATTCTACTGACAACAGAAACCAGAACAAGTCCTGACACTGATGACTCACCCTGTATTGGTAGCCAACGCATAAAGGGTGCATGGTGAGCTTAGGCAAGAGAAAAGGAACATGCAGAAAAGAGAAGCCAGATGGAAGAACGGGGGCGCTCTCTCTAGAGCCCTGGGGGATCCGCAGACCTAGTCAGGCTGGGGCCACCCACCTCCGAAACCACCACCCCTACCCCTGCCCCCCACCCCCCACCTGCTTCAGGGGGAAGGAGGGGGAGGGAGAGTTAACTCCTACTTTAAGTAATGGGTTCATTCATCCTCATTTAAGAACTAGATGGAAATAAATCATTCTTACTTTGCTGATTCTTCTACCAAGTGATCCACATGGTAGAATTCCTTTTGCATCCAGAGCCCAGTTGATGCTTTCCTTCCTTCTCATCTCAGATTTAATTCCTGTTCTATATTTCTCCACATAATAGTAACTGCTCCCACCCCACCAATTCTCATTCATTTGCATTCATCCTTCATTGATTCCCAACTGCTTTTATTCCCTAGCACTTGACTTCACTCTTGTCCTCTTTTCGGCTACCTTATATTGCTGTGAGCAGCAGAGCAGCATCAACTCTGGGCCTGGATTACAGCAAAGTGGGCTTCCCAGATCTAGCCTGCACTCAGCACCCTAAGCTGCAGCTGGAGAACGGATTTAATGACTCAACAGTAAAAGGCTCAGCGGCCTGGCACATGTTAATTTCTAAGTGGATCACAGCACAATTCTAGATGCTTGCTAGGTCAATAGCTAAGATACCAGAAACGGGGAAAGACGGCATACCTGACTCAGGCTCTGCCACTAACAAGTAGATGAACAAAATGCTGAAGTAGGTATGACACAGATCCTAAATGGGAACTCCTTCAAGTACCAAATGTCTTTCCCAGAAGGACTGGGAAACCGCCATTTCATTCACCAAGAACAAACATTCTAGAACTCTCTTCCTAGGTAAAACATGCCCTTTTCCAGTGCTCTCCCTTCTCCAGGCTTCAGCTTCAATAGAGAGAAAAACATCTGTGTAACCAACGAAACTGTCTCATTAGGGTATCTTATAAATCAATTCTGAAACATCCCAGCACTCAGTTCCCACAATCTCAAACCTAAGCATCAGATATCCTGCGGAAAAGTCGTCAGAAAAACCTTTCGTTTAGTCTACAGCTGTTTCTCTTGTAGAATTGATTACTTAAACTGTGGCAGGCCACTCTGGTGGTTTCCTCCCACTTCCTTCCTAGTTTGGGGTCATCTAATGAGGGAGCTGGGTAGGATATCACGAAGACACCTATGATTTCAAAGGGAGGGAGGAGAAGGTAGAAGCTTCTACAAGTAAAAAATTTACCAGAAAGCTGAACAAATTTAGGCCTTTTCTCTTTCCCAAAAGAACTGGGAATGGGAGTTACTGCCATTTCGTTCAGCAAGAACGAACATTCTGGAACTCTTTTCCTAAATATAATGTGTCCTTTCCAATAGTCCTTGCTTCACCAGGCTTCAGCTTTAATACAAAGAAAATCACTTTTTCTTTTTTCTTACTACATTTCTGGATTTGGATTTACCTGTATCAAACATCATGTATTCCCAGTCACTTGGCATTGCAAGTCCTTAGCAATACTCATGAGAAAAAGCACACCCCCACAGCCCCACCCCACCCCCGCCACTCCCCATGCATGGGAATGCCCCCCACCCAAATACAGTATGGGGAGAAAACTCACGTAAAGGCAAAGAAGAGTGTTGTGGCTCCCACTAAGAAGATGGCGGCTGCTGAGACCGGGACATACTTGCTGGGTTTGAATCTCTTTCCAGACTCTGCGGGCATGGTGGAGCTCTGTTGGGAGACCTGCCCTGCCGCATAGCCCAGGCCCACACAGCGGAGGAACAGCCAAGAAAATGGGATGAGGGTAACAACAGGGAAGAGGGCAGAGGGAAACCAGGGATGTAAGATTTAAATGATCACCCTTCCCCCTCCCAAGTAAAAGCAAAGGTCAAAAGATCTCAGATGTAAGAATGCATATGGGAGGGGGAAAGGTGATTCCAGATGATGAAAAACAACCTCCCCAGAACAAGGCACAGGGGAGAGTAAGTAACACAAGTTGTACAGTTTAAAATATGCTGCACACATGCAAATGGCTGTAGGCGTAGAATATGGGCCGCTAGACAGGCCAAGGAACAGCTCATGGATGGCGGCAAGTCTTCAAAAGGAAAGGGAGGGGAGAGCAGGTGACTGCAGGCAAGGAAAAATTATGCCGAGGAGATGCTCTAGCACCTTCCCAACGACCACACGTCCACAGAATGTGAGCGGCACCTTCAGGAGGTGTGCCCTGTGTTTCTATTTTAATCCAAGGAGGAACCAGTGGCCCCTTCCAGCTTTAACCAGAAGCTGTTTCACTCCAGTCCTTGTCCCTTTGGGGGCGTCTCCTCGATGCCACCTCTCCCACACCTCGACTTCCTCAGGGAGAAGCCTAGCAGTGGTGGGCTAATTGTGTTTCCCTTCGCGCTCTCTCTCTCTCTGTCTCGCTTGATGGCTAAAGCTGGGCAACAGCTGTGACAAGGTGTTCTTTGAATCCTGTTCCTTGAAGGAGAAGGGAAAGGAGAAAGAGTCGGCTGGTCTGTCTGCAATCTCTTCTTGTTCTTCCCAAGCCCTTTAATGGCTTCGTTTCCTATGGAGTTCATGCAAAACTAAATGGGGATGTAGAATCCCTGAAGCCATAGTCTTCCCAATAAACAGGAGAGGCTGAAGCAATCAATTCCACTCAATGACACTTTATGAGGTTACTGTGGGTGAAAGCAAAGCTCCAAAGGTCTCCCCGTTTCCAGGCGAACAGACTTCACTGATCTTTCATCTTCAACTCTGGGCTTTCTGGGAACGGAGATCAACTGGGTCACGGTGCCTCACCTGGAGGAAACAAGAATCTTTATCAGAGAAATTCTTTGAGGACAGTTCCTAAAAGCACCAAAGCTAAAACTCCACAGGCTCCTCTGTTACTGAGTGCCTTGGAGAGAAAGATTAGTTTCCATTTCACTTACACGGATTCAGAATAGGACTCAAAACTGGGAGGGCAATGGGTTCCGAATGCCTCACAATCCTCAATGCTGTTCTGACTAGAGCGAGGACACCCGGCCTTCAGCTACCCTAAGGTCAGCAGAGGACTAGGTGTTACATTAGCTCCAGCAAGGGGCCCGTCTCAACTGACACAAATGGGCCATACCAAATACCAGGAATATCAAAATCTAAAAACAGACAGACACAGCAATGGAGGGCAGTCTCAGGAAAGAGATTTCTTTTTGGACAAAGTGAGCATTTATTGCAACAATGACAAAAGGAAAAAAGTAACCTCAAAATTAGAACAGTGAGCTTCTCTCTCTTTTTAGCTATAGCCCTGAAGAGGCAGAAGCTGAATTTTCAGGCTTTGGGAATTCACCATCAAAGGGCAAGGTAAGAAACAGCTTTGCACTGAAAGATGAGATACCTCTGGAGAAAAACTGAGGCTACCATCAGGGTAGGTCTCTTTCTTCCAAATTCAACAGTTTTTTCCTTCCTACCTCAGCCTATTAAGCAAACAGAGCCCCACCTACTCCTGATTAAGAGTAATAATTATTTCTGTTGATGATAGTAACAAAATAACACCAGCACTTTGAATTTTATAGGATGCTTTTCATCTAGTGATCTCAAAGCACTTTACTCACATTAGCTGGTGACACAGTCCCTTATCCCACTCAGTAAAATTGAAGGCTGGAGAAGGCCTGAGGCCATTCCACTGAATCACTGGAGTAACCAGGTTCAGAATCCACATGCCTCATTGCTGATCCGAAATCTTTCTACCTTTCTCATCCACCACGGGACCTGCCCAGGATGAGAACTTGCCATCTGCAAACCAAAAATTATACTTCAATTAGAATTTTAAAAGAAAAGTTCCCTCACCCTGTCTCATAGTTCCATTAAAACCTAAAGCAGAAATTAAAGACTTCAAAGTTTTCCAACAGTGAAGTTCAAATGTGCCCTGAACTTCGTCACCTCTTGTCTGTCTGTCTGTCTGACTTCTGGCACAGAAGGCAAAGGGTTCCTTTAGGATCTCTCTTTTTGGGCAATGAATGTACAAATGCGATTTACACAATTGATGTGAGTATGGATTGTGATAAGAGTTGTATGAGCCCCTAATAAAGTGATCTAAAAAAAATATCTCTCTTTCTAAAACAGATAGGGTTATAGAGGACCAAGTGGCAACACCAGAACAGAGAGAACCCTGGAAAATACATTATTACAGTCCTACAAAGACCAAACTTCTGTAGCCTGATTTTATGATGATTTAACGCCCAGTTGCCTAAAAGAATCAAAGCCCACACCTCTGAACTTAGGCCTCAAAATGGCATAATGAAAAAAGAGCCCTGGTGGTATAAATTATGTGTTGTGCTGCTAACAAGGTTAGAGGTTTGAAACCACTTGCCACTCTCTGGGAAAAAGATGAGGCTTTATACTTCCATAAAGATTTATAGTCTCATGTGTTCGCTTCGGCAGCACATATACTAAAAAAAAAGATTTATAGTCTCAGAAACCTACAGGGACAGGACCATCCTGTCATATAGGATTGCTGTGAGTCGAAATTGAATTCCATGTTAGTGAGCAGTTTGTGGTTTATGGCATAATGGATTATACCTTGACCTGGTAGCCATAAGGTTGGTGGTTCAAAACCATCAGTTGCTTCTTGGGAGAGGTGTTTTGGTCCCAGACATATTTAAGGCTCAGAAACCCAAAAGGGGCAGTTCTGCTCTGTCCTACAGGGTTGCTATGTGTCAGAATCAACTTGATGGCAGGGAGCTTGTTTGTTGTGGCATAGTGGGTTTTACATTGGTCAGCACTTCAAATAGCTTTCTCCTCAGTGAAGATTAGCTCCCCAGCCCCCCCAAAAGTTTTACAGCCCCCAAGCCCCTAATTCTTGTTAATAAAAGGAGGGCTTTTTTGGTTTACAGGTAGTTGTTAAAGCAATCTTTCCTTAAAACCCCACAGATTACAGAAAATTAAAAAAATATATATACCTCACATTTCATCTAGAGTAAGACATTATGCAGACACCATATATTATTTAAGATTTTACTTTCTATGGGGCAAAAGAAGTCTAATACTGCCATAGGCATGTGGGGCCAGGAAGCCTATACAATTTCATATATATCCCAGAACAACACTAGGATACGAAAGATCAACAAGGATGTTAGGGGAAAACAAATTAGAAGGGGCAGTATAAATTTTACGAATTTATTGGGTACAAACAAAAACAAACCCTGTCTTAACAGAAGATCATGCTGTCTCACAAGGCTAAGGATGAGGCCAGAAGAGGGGTGTGTTCAGAGGTAGGGTCCATCCAAACCTGGATGAGAAAGGGGTACCACAAACTGTGGAGGGCATACTCAGAATACACAATGGGATGGTGATGTACATTTGAACCTGGATATGTGGTTCAAAGGCTAAAAGTAAAACTCTAGAAACAGATCTATGAGTTGTGTGTAAAGTACCAGCGATGGTAAGGCACCTCTGTGGAAGCATAGCACCACTGACAGCACAACTATTGTTGGTTGAAATATAAAGTGGTGACATACTGCAAAATAGTACATTTGAATATGCATCAATTAGGTGCCCCGGGATAATCCACATGACAACACAATGGAGGAAAGGCTAGGCAGAAGTGCAAAAGTGTTTTTGAGAGAGCAAAATAAATGTCAATATAATTATTGTAAACACTGGGTGGGTTCTACAGATGGGTGATAATGGACATTCTGAAGAGATTTGCTCCAGGAGAAAGAGACCCTGGGGATAAAGGATGAACCTGCAAATGTCAGCCCAAGATGGCATTAACCAGGAAGTGAAAAATCCACAACCTCTGACCTGTGGCACAGCATCTATCTCATCTCTCACCTACCTCCCTTCCGAACTTTATGACACTTACTTCTCGGTTCAATGTTTTCATTCGGCCATGTGGGTCAAACACTTTCCATCTCCCTACCCCACAAAGAGACTTCCACAGGCAAAATATTGGCAGACCCATTCGAGCTCCGATTATCAAAAGTACAAACTACTAAAAACGCACGGAGCACCCGGCCCCGGCTGGGGAGGAGGAAGGGGGAGAAGGGAGACGGGCTGGAAAACACAGACAGGCACGAGCCCAAACACTTCAATCAGTCGAGTGGGGCGAGGGACCCACATCGCAGGGCAGTAAAGGGGAACAGCACCCGGTCTCCACCCCGGCGCTGGCGCCGAGTCGGGGGACAGCCCAGCGGCCGTCGCTGAGCCCGAGAACACGGACTCCACAGCGGCCGGGCCCACGGCGGCGGCGGGAGCCGGCTGACCGGGGTGACAAAGTCCGGAGCGCAGGGCCGGGGGCGGAAGGGGCCGGGATCCCGAGCTGGGAACGGGGGTTCCAGCACTAACCGGTTTCTGAACCCCGGCGGCCGAGGAAGCCGGGCCTCTCCTGGTCCTCCGTTTCCGGGGCCCACGGGTCTCGCCACAGTTGGATGACCCGGCCCCGCAGAGGGAGAGGGCCTCAACCACCTCCCCCCTCTCCGGTCCCCCTTCCCTAGAGGTCACTCTCCCCTCCCACCTCAACGGCCCGGCACTTCCGGTTCCGCAGGGGCCAGTGTCTCCCGTGCTCACCCCGCCGCGGTGCCCGTCAGCGGCGCCGTCGCTTCGTCGCCGCCGCCTCCCGGCAGTGCCGTCCGGCCTCTGAGAGGCAGCGCGCGGCCCCCGCACGCTCCACGCCCGCCCTGCTCGCGCGCGCTCCCGTCCGGCGACGCTCGTCTCCCAGCCGGCGCGCGGCCGTGGCCCTCAGTACCGGGTCTGGAGCCCTCCCAACGTTCCCATTGGCTCTCGGGCCCGGGCACGCGCGACGTCTCGCGCCGGGCACGTTTCTCTCATTCATGCGACTCGCGCCGCCGCGCCAGCCCCGGCTCACTCGCCCATTCACCCATAACCCCCCACCCGCTCGCCGCTCGTGAGCGTGCGCGCGAACCGGGGGCGACCGCGGCGACCTCGCGGTCTGATTGGCTGTAGGAGCACAGCGCCGTACCCACGCCAGGAAACGGGAGCGCGCCCGCACGGCCGTCGGGCACCGCAGACGCCTGGGAGAGGGCTGGCATACTGCGCAGGAGGCAGGAATGGGGAAATGGTGCGAGGAGCCTTCCAGATTCGTGTGTGCCATTGCTTTTTCTTACTGTACCTGGAACCCAACCTTCAGAAATATAAAATAACTCATGACTGTGCAGTAGGACTGATCAAAAAGCAAGCAGCCACCCTCTCGAATTCACCAAACCACCTCCCAGTACGCGTGGTACAGGCCCGACATAAGTCGGGTAAAACCAATCACCGATAGGTTCCCCCCTTTTCCTACTTCAGTCCTTCACACATTGGTCAGCTGTCTGACGACTGACAACGCTTTTTTTTTTTCTTCCACAAATAGTGGAAACTTTATTTAAATCAATTTTGATGGCGAAGTTCCCTGGTACTGACCGAATCCCCGTATCATAGGAAAGGCAGTGCAGCAGCTCCCAGATGAGTGGCTGGCCAGGCTGCTGCCAGCGGGGGAGGAGGAAGGACAATGTGCGCAAATCTGGGCGCGCACGAGATCTGTGGTGGTGGCAGTAGTGCCCGGAGGAGCAAGCTGACCCTTGACTCCCAGTTCCTTACATTCTCGCCCCGTTCCTAATCTCCCTCAACCGGGGAAGGAATACAAGCTTGAAAGGAAAAGGTTCTCTGAAAAGCACTGGCTGGCGGGCTGCTGCTCAACTCTCCCTAGATCACAGCGCCAAAGTTTTAGCCTAAAACTGTGAACTAGTCTGTCTCCATGCAGCCCCAAGCCATTTCTCTTATGAGAGCACTGCGGTTGTTGCATACTTGTCTTTCTACAAGGTGTCCATCCGCCACTTCTCTGAAGCCAAGTTTTCTTGCCTCTCAAGAGTGATCTGTTCTCTGCTTTGGATCAGATTTTGCTGGGTTTAACTGGGCTGCTGATACTCTTAACATTAGGCAGCTAGGAAAAGGAGAAAAGTCTACTTGCTTAATTTCTAGGTCTAGTCTAGTTCCTCTTTGACATGGCCTGAGGTTCAAGTTTATTCGTGCTAAGGGCTTCAATCCACCACTTGGGCCTATTACAACATACCCTAGAATTTTCTTAATGGCAGTGTTAAAAAAACCGAAATCTTTATAACTTGGGGTTTATAAGGAGCAAATTTACCCACTGGGCTGCTAATCAAAAGGTCAGCAGTTTGGACCCACCAGCTGCTCTGTGGGAGAAAGATGAGGCTTTCTACTCCTGTAGGACTTAGAGTCTCAGAAACCCCGAGGGGCAGTTCTATCCTGTCCCTATGCATCAGAATGGACTTGTTGACAGTGAGTTTAGTGGGGTTTTGTTATTTCAGTGAGGATCCAGGAGGAGCCATAGTGGTGCAATAGTTCAGCTGCTAATCAGCAGGTCAGCAGTTTGAAACCAGCACCTCTGCAGGAGAAATGTGTGGCAATCTAGTTCCATAAAGTTTTACAGCCTTGAAAACCCTTTGGGGCAGCTCTATTTTGCCCTTCTTTGCATTGGGTTGGAATCTACTGAGCAGCAGAGGGTTTGTTTTGGGGATACCGAGGAATGCAGTATGTATATTTGGTCTTATTTCCATGAAATATTCTCCCTTCCAATCATGTTATTACATTTCCTAAGGATGAAGTCAAACTTCTCTATTTTTCTTGGATTTTAAGACTATTTCATTTCCTTAGCCTCACAGAGTAGGCCCCATTCATTTCCTTTCTATTAAAAGAATGAAAACCCACTGTCCTGTAGGTGGTTCCACCACGTGGTAATTCCATGCCATGTGTTACAGAGGAGAAGCTTAAGTAAAGCTGCTCCATAGCATTTTCTTGACTATAATCTTTATAGAGGCAGAATGTCAGACCTTTCTTCCACAGCACCACTGGGTGAATTGGAGCCAAGCTTTAGGTTAGTAACCAATTGTAGACCACTGGTGCCACTCAGGTACCTACTTTCAAGTGTTATTACGTGTTCTTGAGTCAATTTTCAACTCTTAAGACCCCCCAAGTGACAGAACAGAATACAGAATACCCCTAGGCTCTATTTTTTTTTAAGCTAGGAAACAGATTTGTTGTTGTTGTATAGGTATCTTCTTTGAGTCCTGCTTTCAATTTTTTTTAAATCATTTTATTGGGGGCTCATACAACTCATGTGTACATAATGTATGTATACATCCATTATGTCAAGCACAACAAATTTTATTTTTTCCTTTTTTTTCAGTTTTATTGGCACATAATCCACATATCATACAATTCAATAGTTCAATCATATCAACAAGAATTATGCAACCATTATCCCAATCAACTTCAGAATTTTTTATTTTTTGTGGTTAAATTGCTTTTCAGATGAGTTTAGTAATCACAATCTGTTCTAGTGCTGCATACATTGTTTTCTCCTGCATACATTGTCTCCTGCATAGTTTTCTCCCTCAACCTCCTCCCCCTCCCTATCTTCCACACCCACCCTAGTAAATCCTTGCCTCAGTCATCATCTCTATGCATCTACTCCTGTGCTTCACAACTGGAAAACCCAACGAAAACAATAAAAAACAGAAACTAAATAAAGTGGTAAGGATAAAATAGTAATACAAAGATAAAAATACATGTAATGATTAAGAAAGAAAAGACCACCATCAGTATTTAAAAGGCCAGGGAAGAAATTTTTGTAATGGAACAACCAAGAAATACTTGCACCTAGAACAATTTCAAGTTGGGTCATGAGGGAAGTTAACTGACCAAATATCAAGTTCAATCCAGTAACCACGATTGCAATGATCTCTATCTGATAGTAAAGCTATTTGAGACCTTTGCCTGTGGCTAGAGGGGATATGCCAGCGGCTTAATCTGACTAGATACTCTGCAGATTGTTTTTGGGCTCCCACTACCTTCCATTTCCTCCTACAAATTGGGTATTTGCAATTTAGGCTCTGATACTTTTCCCTTTGCAATATGTGAATTTTGTTATTGTCGTCTTAGGATCTCACAAGCTCGTGTGCTTTTTCCATGTGCACTTGACCCCTCGCTTAGATAGCTGCTTGTTTGAATACAAGCCTTTAAGAACACAGACACAATTCCAATTGATAGCTGCTTTCTTCACCACACTTTGTTGTAGTACCCTTATCTTCATTGATCATTTCATGAAAGTGAGTATCAAGCTGGCGGCATGTTATTAAAACTAACTGTTCTTGGATTGGGGCTAGAGTTAAGTGGGGGCACAGAATCCATCTGCTTGTCCCTGGAATATATACCATTCAGGTTTACTTTGGCAGTCATAGTATGACAAAGTCAAAACCCCATTAAAAACAAAACCAAACTAACTAAAGGCAGGAAAACAAAACCCCATAGAAACAGAAAAATAAAACATTGTCCATCACCCCCCTGAAGTATAAGGCAATTCCACCAGTAACATCAATTTTTCTAATGACCCAGCACT